GTAAGTCACTAACCTGAACAAGACCATAGCAGCAGAGTATGGGTGAAGCCCAGGAACATGTACAGACTATGTTTCTCTCTCTTGAGTCCTGCAAACATCCTCATCTAGATTTCGGCAAATAAAATATGCACTAATGAGTAGTTACATGGAACTCTGTGTTGGATTCCTGTTTTTCTCTGGAGACCCTTTCATTCATGTTTCCTTTACTTCACTGGCTCCTGTCTTCCCTTCCATCTTTCTAGCTCTGCTGTCAACATGGACTTCAAATGATCTTCTTTCCTCTCCCTGGTCTTCTCACACTCCCTAGTTTCTGCCCCAGGTCCCCTTCTTTCTTCTAAGCTTGGCCCTGTATGCAAGGTGAATTCACCCAAGGAAGCTGAGGAAGAGCCTTTTATCCTCAGTGTGACATGTCCACATAATGCTGCCTCCAGTGCCCATAGGCTCTGTATACACTGCTGCCCTTCCATTAGGCAGATGCACTGCAGCATCTCTTTCTTTCAAAAACTGTTTGGCTACACTGGCACAAGGGGAAGATATCCCACTTCTCAGATAATCAGCCCCATTACTGCTAACACCTCTGACACTTTTGGTATGTCACGGTGACGACCTTGTTGTTGGCGTGTGCACAGCCAGGCTGAGCACAGGAGTGAAAGGGGATGCAGAAAGAGGCAGAGAGTTCTGGTGGAGATGAACTCCGCTGTCCGCAGTGTAAGGGGCAACCCCTGGTACACAGAACTGCTGAGAAAATGCAGAGCAAAATACAAGTGGGTTTATTTTCAATTCTTCATTGCCTCTAAGGTGTAGTCCTGGTCCTACAATTACTGTCTCACAAAACTGAGGGAAGATATTATTAGTCAAGCTCTCTCTACACAGCAAATCATTACCAGCACCGTGCCAGTTCGACAAGCCACAGAGCAGAATGCCATGCAATTTCCTCTTTGAGCTTGTGCTCCTAACAAGTTATTTTAGGAACCTACTTTCACTGGAGGCATCATGAGATTTCTGCTTGTCACGTACAAAGGCATATTTCTAACATGAGAGCAGCTGTTTTGGTTTGTTTTCCAATAGCACCTCGAGGTCAAGTTACTTCCCTACAAAACATGGCTCCCAGAGTTAGCAGACTTCAGTACAATTGACTTACAGTGCTTAAAAAACACAGACTGGAAAATGTTTCTTGCTCCCAGCAGTCCATCACATAAGCTAGAGCCAAGGGAAATGTAAAGTGACCAGGGTCTTTAGAAAATAGGGAGAAACCAACACATTTCAAACAGCCAAAACCAATTTTAAGCCCTCAGGATAGACTTATTTCAGTGTATTGTAGCTGAAGGCTTTAGAAAAAACAATAAAGTGAAAATCAGTGCAAGTTTGTTCTGGTTGTTATGTAAAGCATATGCTCTGCGAACACACACTACAGGCTGATGAATGAAAACCACCAGGAACTTGTACTTTGCCAGAGCTCACTGCAGGCCTTTGCAGTTGTAGTTCCCTGGATGACTAGGGCTAGCTCAAGACTCACAGCAGGCTCCCACCAGATGACTGAGCTGATCTAGCAGCAGGCTGCTGTTGAAAGGGGCTGTGCTGCTCCTCCACCACCCATGCTCCAAGATATGGCTGCAGGAGGCCTGATCTTCCCTCATGCTAGCTCTGACACTGAACTGCTCAGTGAGCCAGTTCTGCTCACTACATAAGTAGGAAATCACCCTTTTATTTGCAGGGTTTGGCTTCTGCTGGTTTAGTGAATTTAAACTGCAGTGGTAAGCTGAGGTAGGAGGCACACCAACAGTGAGCAACAGAGGCAAAAAAGCATATCCTCTTAAGACAAACCTTACAGGGCACGTATACTGCAAGGCAAAGCTAAACAGCAGTACCTGTTCTTTGGTAACAAGATCTTCTGAATCTGACAGGAATTTCTGCTTCTAACATTTGGATCACAATTGTGAATTTGGAAGGAGTCAGGGACTGCAGGAGGAAGAAGTGAAGTTAACCTGTCTGCATGTGGCAGAAGTCCTAGCAGAAACTTTCTGACATCTCAGTAAGGAGCAGTGGAGAGCTGGTGAGCTTTACATCCCAGAGGACTATGTACAGAAAGAATGTAAAAGGACATACAGTGGTTCCAGGGCTGTTCTTGTCCTGTGATGGATCCCATTGTCTCTGAATCAGCTCAGCCCAACTGAGGAACTTAAGGGGGTGCCATAGAAAGCAATTAGACTGACTTCTTTGGGTGCAACTATTGTCAAAGTAGTGAAACATTACTAAGATTTCTGCTCCAGTCTTACAGCAGATGTATTTAAAAAATAATTTGGAGTCAGACAGGAAAATAAACATTCAGCTTGATTCCTCAGAGCTGGACGTGGTGTTAAGTTTCAACTTTATTGTGTTAGGGCACAACACAGCAAGCACTTGTGATTGTACATAGTCCTACAGACTCCAACTGGGGCTGTGAACGCTATGTGAAGTAAAGCATATTTGTAAATGTTTCAGGGAATTCCAAAATATTAAAGAGACAAATTTTGCTTGCAATACACTGAGTGCTCAGTCTTGTTTTCTTCGTCAACGAAGTGAGTAAGTCCACATTGCTGTCATGATTCTCAGACGGGCACAACACTTTTGTTGCAAAAGCAGATCAGGCTGTGTATGGTATCAGTCTTCCAAATGCATTATTGTTCAATTTCAAAAATTTCAATTTGCTTGGATCAAATTTGCAGCTTTTGGTCCTAATTCCATGTAGCTTCCCAAAACAATCATAAAAAATTTGGCTCTACCTCTACTCTGCTCTTAATTACGACACATGGTTTTCTTTGTAGGTTACCCGGCTTTTATTGAAACTCCTTCAGAACCTGCACCTTCCTGCCTTTGAGCAATTGCTTTATTCCAGCATTTGAAGTCATGATAACAACAGTCTAATTTGGATTTCTTGTCAGTGTCCTTTGTACCAATGGCTAATTGCAGGAACACAATTTATCTTCTAAGCAGGATCCTTATCTTCTCTACAGTCATATGAAGTTCTTTTACTGCTACTCCCCAGCAAGTCATGGAATCACAGAATCAACCAGGTTGGAAAAGGCCTTTAATATCATCCAGTCCAACCCTTATCCCAGCACTGCCAAGGCCACCACTAACCCATGGCACTGAGGGCCTCGTCCATATGGTGCGTGAACACTTCCAGGGATGGTGATTCCAGCGCTGCCCTGTGCAGCCCGTTCCAATGCCTGAGCACCCTTTGGGGAAGGAATTGTTCCTCATCTCCATCTAAACCTGCCCTGGTGCAGCTTGAGGCTGTTTCCTGTTGTCCTGTCCCTTGTTCCTTGGGAGCAGAGACCAGCCCCCTCCTGGCTCCATCCCTCTGTCAGGCCGTTGTAGGGAGCGATAAGGTCCCCCCTGAGCCTTCTCTTCTCCAGGCTAAACCCCATCAGGTCCCTCAGCAGTTCCCCATCACACTTGTGCTCCAGGCCCTGCACCAGCTCCACTGCCCTTCTCTGGCCCTGCTCCAGCACATCATGTCTCTCTTGTAGTGAGGGGCCCAGAACTGAGCACAGGATTCAAGGTGCAGCCTCACCAGTGCCCAGTGCAGGGGGACAATCACTGCCCTGGCCCTGCCGCCACACTGATGCTGATAGAAGCCAGGAAACAAGCCTGGAAACAAGCCGCTCATGTTCAGCTCCATCAATCAGCACCCCCAGCTCCTTTCCCATAGGCAGTTTCCAGCTGCTCTTCCCAAGCCTGGAGCCTTGCAGGGGGTTGTTGTGGCTCAAGTGCAGGACCTGTCACTTTGCCTTGTTGAACTTCAACCCACGGGCCACAGTCCATGGATCCAGCCTGCCCAGATCCCTCTGCAGAGCTTCCTACCCTCCAGCAGATCAACGCTCCCATCCAACTTGGTGTCATCTGCAAATTTACACATCCCAGTATGGAGCAGTTTGCACCAGTACAGAGCAATATAGGCCACTGGGGCCCCAGATACTGCTGGGGTTTCAGCATCCCAGTGCTCCCAGTCCTTGCCGCCGGTCTTCCTACTTGTAGCTGTGCTCAACTCCCAATCCCTCCCAGTGCTCCCACTGCCTACTGCAGGTGCTCCAAGTCCCTCTCAGTCCCTGCCACAGTCCTTCTGTCATGTCTCATTTTGGTAATTCTTTTTCAGATTGCCATTTTTTGAGCTGCTAGGCTCTTTAGCCATGTGCTTCAGTACACACCAGAGGCTTCCTTTTACAAGGGCATGCAGTGATAGGACAAAGAGAAGTGTTTTTTAACTGAAAGAGGGTAGGTTTAGATTAGACTTTAGGGAGTTATTCCCTATGAGGGTGGTGAGGCACTGGAACAGATTGCCAAAGAAGTTGTGGCTGCCCCATCCCTGGCAGTGTTCATGGATGGGGCTTGGAGCAACCTGGTCTAGCGGAAGGTGTCCCTGCCCATGGTAGAAAGGCTGAAACTAGATGAGTTTTAAGGTCCCTTCCAAGCCAGACTATTCTAAGGTTCTCAATTTCCTTGACCCATCGTCTAAGCTATCCTTCTCTGAGCTTACCTGGGCAACACTTAGATCACTTCAAGTTTGGGTGTTAACACCCTGACAGCCACAAAACACAGCAGAACTCGTGTAATGAATAAATCCAGCCACACATCTGGACATTGCACCACACAGTACCCCTCAGTAACAACCCCTAGCTGACCCACAGTGTGATCAGAACGTGTGTTACGACTGACACCAACACCCCGACGAGGCACAGGCCTGTCTCTAAGGGCACAAGGAGAAGCCTCCAGTTACCCACTCCCCGGAGCACTACTTCCCGTGCTCTGAGGTGGAAGCACCGCTTCTTCCCCGTGCCCTGGGGCCGGCCGGGTGGAGCGCACCCACCACGACCAGCAAGCATGAGATAAGCACTCTGTTCAGCTCCAGGCCCCCAACACCCCCTGCGCATGCGCAGCAAAGGCTGTGGCACGAACAGGACCTTCAGGATCGGGGGTGGGGGGAGAGGCAGAACACTGCGGTCTGCGCCGCTCCTCCAATGAGGGCCTGGCTACGCCCCGCGCATGCGCAAAACGCCGCGCCCACCCGCCTCGCGCCGTAGAAGTGTTTCCGGCGCGGGGCCTGTGACGTCTGCGATCGGCGCCGGGCTGTCCGGCGGGCGGGCGGTGGGAGATGGCGGAGTATCTGGCCTCCATCTTCGGCACCGAGAAGGACAAGTGAGTGGCCCATCCCTTTCACCGGTGCCGCTCCCTGCGCTCCGGGAGCCCCGCGTGGGGAGCTCGAGGGAGGCCGGAGGCTGGTAGTGGGTTCCGCGGGGACGCGCAGCGCCAGCCTGGGCGGCCTGTACCCATCGTGGCGGTCAGCCCTTCCCATTTTCTCCCGCCTCGGGGCCCTGCGGTAACCCCCGCCAGGGCGCGCGCCCGCGGGATCCTTCCCCTCACCCCTCCCCATCCATCAATCCGTTCCTCTCCTCGCCATAGCCACGCGCTGGAATGTGGCGGCGCGGCCGCGGGGGGGAGAGGAAACGAAGCGGGCGCGCTCACTCCCCTTGCACCCCCACTAATCCGCCTCCCCTTGGCCCGCGGCCCTCTCTTTCCCCCCCCCCCCCTTTTCCTGTCGCTGGAGCGCGCGTGCGCGCGCCGCAAGGGACAGGGAGGGAGAAAGGGGGCGCGCGTGCGCGCGCCTTCCGCCGCGTGGGGCCTTGCGCGTGCCCGCGCGGGCGGGCCCCGCCCATGCGCTTCCCTCTTCCCCTTTTGCCGGGCCGGGTACGCGCTCTCGGGGACTTCCTCCTCCCCTTCCAATCCCCGCTCCCCGGCCGCCATGCGTGTGTGCTCGTGCCTCGTGGCGTTCTGACGGCCCCTCTCCCCTCCCTGCCTCCCCCCGCTCCGGCGGCCGCGCTTTTCTGGCGGTGGCGGGAGCTTCCCGCCGCCTCTCCCCACACCCCACCCCTAATCCTCCTGCCAGGGAGGGCCTCTTCTCCCTCCTTTTGTTCGTGTCTCTGCGCCTCGCAGCGGCCCGAGAGCTCCCGCTGTGCTGCGAGGACAGCGACTGGTTATTTCTCCCCCCTCCCCAGGGTGCGGAGGATTTCCCCGACTGCTGCATCCTGATCCTCAGGCTTCTGCCTGCAGCCTTCCACCCGTCGGGAACGCCTCTAGTTTCTCTGGTTGTTGGAAGCGTACTTAGAAAACACTCCTAACGAAAATTTGGTCACCACCGTCGGCCTGACCAAAGCAACGCGTTTTTCCACTCGTAAAAATGAAAGGGGGCATCGATGTGCTGCTGGACTAAATTACTCTTGCCAGCCCCTGGCCATGAGGCTTCTGATTTCCTTCTGCTTTATAGTGCAACATGCCAGTTCCAATCCACTCGTCTGTCAGAAAAAGCAGTGCCGACAGCCACTCTTGAGCTCTGCTACTGTAGCATCCTTTCTGATATGCATTGCAGTTTAACAGTATTAGTATGTGCCAGTATGGCAGGCATGAAATTCCTGTTACAGGTCTTATTTCCTATTCAAAAACCAAGCAGAACTCTTCAGAAAGTCTTGAAGTTGGAGGCATATTGGACATCTTATAGTTAGGTACTTTTTTGTTTCAGGTTAGAGTTCAGAAAAGACAGTAAGTATATTGTAATGCTAAGTATATATTTTCAAAATCATAAATGAAGAATAAACATGTTGCCATTTTACAGTAGAATGTTTTCCTAGAGATCAGATGTGCTTTAGTACTTTAATATTTTTCCCTTCCATGAGGTGATGTTGGCTACACAGGATTGTGGAAAGAATTGGTGTTAACTCTGAGTATGGAAATAATAATCTTTCTTCCAGGAGAATTCTTATGTTTCACGCACCCATATATAGCCCATAATAGTTCTCTTGCCCTGCAGAATTTTGCATTCAGTTTTCTCAGTCAAGGTAACTGAATTCCTTATGGTTTTCTTTCATCATTCCAAGTGAGTTACACTTTATATGTTGAGTGTTGCTGGCACTTCTAAACCAGCATAGTTCTGAAGGTGTCACAAGATGATGGTTAATTCAAGAAAAGCTTGTGGTTTAAAAAAACATTAAACGCTTCCTTTTCAAATCATTAACTACACTCATCAAAATGGCTTAACTAAATGTTTTGCTTGTTTGTATTCTCTCTGTAATGTGGTTTTTCTCTTACCTGAATTGTTGAAGGTACTGTGTTGGCAGCAGTCTGAATTACCCTTAGAGTGTAACTTTTAAACAGGCAGCTTATAAAACATTAGGTAGGTGCAACTGTATTTCCTAGACTAGGGGGTTGCATGAACCAAGACATAACTATATAGCTCACAGTAAAGCTTCTTGGACTGTTTTTCACATTATTTCCCACCCCATCACCCAGTGAAACTGGTAAAAAGACAAGAACGGAGAACCCAAAGGGTAAAATGGTGATCACTGCTTCTGTCTGTGGTGGTGTTGTGAATGCACTTCTGGTTTGAGTATCAGGTGAAATTGTTGAGATTACTTGCTGTACATTAGGGGTAAAGAGGAATGGACGTGAACAGGTTTGTTGTAAATACTTTCCTAGACTGATTTTTTTTCTGTGTTACTTCTGCACAACAAGATAAAGGCATGTAGGGCCTATGTTTTATAGTAATTGCATATTGTTTCCCGTTCCAATATGTAACTACTTTGTTCTTACTTGCAGAGTCAACTGTTCATTTTATTTCAAAATTGGAGCTTGTCGTCATGGAGACAGATGTTCTCGTTTGCACAACAAACCAACATTTAGCCAGGTTTGTTTTCTTTTTTTTTCCTCTTTCTTGTCAAAGTATAGTTTTGCTTCTTTAAAGCATAGATTCTCAGATACAAGTGAATAATTACCAAGATCCAGATTAAGTAGTTCACTTTTGGCCCCAGTTTATATGGGTTTTTGCTTTTTTTTTGGGTATTCCATTTACTTCTCCCAGCATTTCTAATTATCTCCTGTCACCCTTAATGGCTGCAGGAAGCGATGCTGTTGTAAGCTTGCCTGTAGTAGAGACCAACCAGTGCTAACTTTCAGGTGAGTGTGCCTTCTCAGTGGTGTTCAGGCACTTAAACCATCCCAGATCTTTTTAATCACAATGGCAGCATGTTCCACCTATGTCAAAGGTGTGAACTTAAATCTTTTATACATATAATGGAAGAAACCAATTAGTAAATAAGTGACTTGTCTGTCTTTACATTTGATCTCTGACCCAGGCTTATAAGTTTTGAGAGTAACTTACATTGTTCCTTTCACTGTGAAAGAGTTTTTTGGAAACAACTTGCCTGGTTGCTGAGGGTGTCTGTATCAATTGACCTGACAAATTATTTAATCTGACAACGTGAATATTGTTGGAGACATGATGTGTTACTGCATGTCTGTCAGAAAGGGGAAAAAAAAAGGAAAAGGTGCAGTGGATGATAGGGGTTTTGTTATGACCTCTGTAGTTCTCAGAAATTACATTCCTGGAGAAGTGTATTATTTATCTTTCTATCACTGCTGATTGTCAAGGCGTACAGGTAAACAGATTTCTTCAGGAGTATTGTAGGTGGCAGGTAGTGCTTGCAAAAGTTGTTGCATTATCAGTGATTTTATCTACAAAGGTAAAACTTGTATAGCAATGAAGTTCTGTGCAAGTTCATTTGAGCTGACTTGGAGCAGAATTGATGGGAATGGTGGGCTGGTGTCAGTGTGAGAAGAACTGTGGAGGCAGGTACCATCCACGTGTCTGGGCTTCAGAGCAATGACGCCCATGAGGTTAAACTCTTGAGTGCATGAGTTTGCAGGGGGAGTTCCAGGGGACAGTAGCTGTAGGATGCTGGTCAAGAGGGACCACTGCTGGTACTTCATGTACAAAAAGAGTTTCATGCTTCTAGTGTTTTAGGGTGGGTTTTTTTGTTAATAATTTTTAATATAACTATTGTATCTCAGAGGGAACATTGCCCATTTTCAAAATGACTCCATGTTGCTGACCTACATGAAGGGCATGCTAGAGTGTGATTGGTTATTTAGAGACTTGAATTTAGGTCATTGGCTACTAGAAAATATTCCTGAATTAGACACTTCCACAGTAGTTGTCTTTAGGTTTGGTTTTAAGCAACTCCCCCACACCCCCTAAAAAAAAAACCAAACACCACAACCCCAAATGTAACACTGTAAACTACTTCTTTTTTTTTTTGGGGTGTGTGTAGTTTTTTAAAACAAACAGGCAAAACCCAACCTCACAACCCTTTGTATGGAGCAACTTTTTCCTCTGTCAGGAAGTTCTTGCAGGCAGCCTTTAGCTTTGTTTTAGAGACTGTGGTTAGCAGTGCCAGCTGATGTGGGTCAGCAGGGAATGTGTGACTCTTCAGTGATGTCTGGGACTGCTTCAGCACTGCTCCTGACAGGTGTGCTGTGTTGTAACACCTCTAATGTACCTGGCAGGTGTGTAGGGTTCACTATAGAAATCTTTACTTGTATGCAGATTGATAATCAGCTGTGATAGAAGAACAGATACTCATTAATGGGAAGTTACCAGTGCAGTATTTTTATCTTGTGTTGCTATTGCTGGTACAGCTCCTTTATATGGGAAAGCTGTGTTAGGAAAGGTCGTGCGATCCAGGGTGATTGAATTACCACTGATCAGCAGAAACACTGTAATACTGCATGTTTCTGGCTCTCTCCAATTGTAGGCAAAACGTAGTTATTTTAAACCTGGGCCATGGAAGCACAAAGCTTTGGTTGGTATGACTGTACCCATTATAAAACAAGTGTGTGATTTTTAAATGAGATATTACAGTTTTGGGTGTTTTCTTTACATGTGAAGTGGGCAGCATATGTAGGTCTGACATTGCTGGTCCTGTGACTTAAGTTCTGAATTCTTACTGTGACTAATAATAATGTGTAAGCTAAAATTTGGGGATTGCGATTCATACTAACAGTGAGCTTGTATTTTAAGTAATCAAATTTCAATTTTTGAGCTGCTTACAGTGATATGGACGTTTGGAATTTTTTTTGTAATATTAGTTTACTAACTTAAACATGGTTTGTTTTTTCAGACAACTTGATTTTAAGAAGAACGATACAAATGTAAGGTTTCAAGTCTGCCTGGGCTAATTCTTCAAGTAAAAAGCAGAAGGGCTAAAAGGATATTGTCCTTATTTGAAGGATCGGAAACGTGATGCCTGTGATGCTATTATATTATTTAAACAGAAATTCCACCAAGAAATTCCTGACGCACAAAATGAGACTTGCCTAAAAACCTTACTGTCTGGTGCAGCAGTTTAGACTCTGGCATTCTGTATTATACGCTGTGCACATAACACTGTTTCCACTCCCCCTCCCAGCCTTGCAATGATGAGTCTGATCCTGAAAGCTAGGCATCTCCATAAGATCACATAGTTTGACATTTCAGGTGACTGCTTCACAACTCTCGTTTTGAGGATAGCTCTTGAGAGAAATGCAGCTCTTTCTTGGTGGTTAATTAAAACTGTTTTCATAATATGATGGTCTGGATGAAATTTTGGAAGATATTCTGCAAATACAAAAGGAAATCTTGAGAATAGAATCTTACTTTTAGCTGTTTGCAAACAAGTTGTCTCTTTGCAATTGTCTATTATATGCACAGCAGCCAGTAGAATTCCCCTTTTTATTTTTTTTCCCCGCAGACCATCTTGATTCAAAACATCTATCGTAACCCCCAAAACAGTGCACAGACGGCTGACGGCTCACACTGTAAGTCCCACAGTTGGAGAAATTTTTTTAAAGAATGGTGTTAAAGAGCCCACTCCTAATTATGAGTAAATAATGTTGGCTTCTGAGCTGCTGACATAAAGCTGTTGCAAACAGGACAAGTGACGGAACTCTTCTTGCGCATAGATCAAGAACTTGGGAAATGTGTGCAGTTCAGAATGCAGAAGTGACTGCATAAATTGGACTTCATGCAGATGCTCTTTTGCACTGCAGAGTGAAACTCAATTGTGTAGTAACTCTTTTTAAAGGGTTAAACTGCAGACATTTTTCAAATTCTTGATTTAACAAAAAAAAATTAAAACCAAAAAGGGATATAAATAGGTACATACATGACGTACGGTAAGTTTCCCAAAACTGGGTTTTTTTTTTTCATCTTAACTTTTTTAGGAAAATGGAGATTTCATGTTATGCTGTAATTATTGTATTACTTTCCTGTGATTTTGCTGCTAAAAACCATTTGATGCAACCAAATTCAAACAAATTATTATGGCTGTAATTTGAATACTGTGTTTGGGTGCCATCTATTATGTATCTGCCTGAAATTGTGCAGAACCGCACTAGAGTAACTTTGTTGAATTAAAACCAAAAATACAATAATGGAGTATCATGAGATCTCTATTACTTTACAGTGATAGGTTGATTCAGAAAGGTCACCAGCTAAGTGCAAGTTCTCCTTGGGAGAGAATAACCACCTCTCTTTCAGCACAGACTCGGCTAAAGCGACCCTAGAGGAAACCGGTTTCTTGTTAAAATTATTTTCCATAATATAAAGTTGTTGCGTTTTGTATTTCAGACCATTGCCCTCTTGAACATTTACCGTAACCCTCAAAACTCTTCCCAGTCTGCTGACGGTTTGCGCTGTAAGTTCATACAAGTTCCTTCACTGGTTCCCTGGGCTTGATTGTCAGAGCTCAGTGTCGACTTAAGCTGGTCTGCCATTTTAGTTTAACAGATCAAACTGACCACATTTCATTAAATGTGTCCAAAACCAACACACATCCACAAAAAAACCCCCCACGACCTCTTTTTTGTCCCGCTCACCTTCCTCCCTTCTCCCAGAACTATGAGGGGAATCTGTATACCACCTAATCAAAAAGGGTTGCAGTTGTACTTCCCCTGTAAAGCAGTTTGGTTATTCTGGTTTCTTCCCCTATGCCTTTCTCCCTGCTGGAGAATCTGGCATCCTAGGAGCATCCTAGGAATGTTTTGTGCTGTTCATTAGGTTCCACTGCCTAAAAGAGCAGTACAATGACACGTTGACTTCATCCAGAGCAAAATTCCTGCTCTGTAAATATTAAGAGAACTTGATTTTAAACTTTTTAGGCTGCATGCAGAAGTTTGTCCTAGGTTAATGCAGCTTCCATTTAGAGTGTACTTTGGAAGAACACACTTTGACAACACTTCCCTTCTGGCAGCTGTCCTTTTTTGGATAGGTGCATACTTAAAATTCCTTTCATGCTTTGAAAATTCGAATTCCAAAACCAAGTTGCTTATTTATGTAGGCAGATACATCTTTAAAAGTATTTTTGAGGAGGGGAAGGCATTTGGGTATGGTCATGAACTAATTTAATAGCTCCTCAAGAGGTAGGAATGGGCATAAGAAAACACACCTGCTGTGAAACTGGCAGAAGTTAAACGATGAGGATTGTTGATCGGTGATTACTGATACTGTGATTTGAATCCTCAATATTAGAGTAAAATTAAGAAAAAAAAAGGGGGAAAGAAAAGTTTTAGGACCAAAAAGGATTGGTGTTATTTTCTAACTAATATTTCTTGTTGAAGTGATTGACTGTGTGGTAATAAAGCTTTGTTCGGCTATTCCTTTTTTTTGACTGTTGGATTATAGACTAGTTCAGATTAGTTACCAGCATTTGATCAGATGTGTTTTATGAAATCAGCCATTAACTTCAAAGTCAATGCTGTCTCTTCTGCTTCTAAAAGTTAATAATGGCCCAATGATGTAATTTGAGCATTTTGTCGCACAATTGAGCTAGATATGTATCAAGCTATGTAAGTTTGTCTAGATGCTTAAACAGTTCTCTCGGTTTGTAGGCTTTCTTGTTGCAGATGCTTAGTATTAATTAATGCTGTTTCAGTAAACCAAAAAATTTACAGTTGGGTAAATCTGTCCCTGAATTCTCAATGAGCTGGTAACTAATTTGCACAGTTAACAGCAGTTTGGTCTGTGGAGCTGTTTAGATTGTAAAGTTGCAAGAGCCTTGAACAGATTCTCTAGCGTTTTCTGAATGCTGGTATCCGTCTCTAGTTTGTCTTGAAGAGCGGGTAGCTATTCAACAGAGCTTGACTGTACCTCTGTGGTAGAGCTGAAGCTCTGTTGTTACCAGTAAGTTTGCTGAAACTCCTGGCTTCTTGTTTTCTCAAAACTTGTCCCTACTTAAGTACTGCATGTATTTTTAATGGATAAATTGGGTAGCTATTTAATGCTTTTGTTATTGTTGCTTAACTGTCTTCCTTTCTATTGCCATCATAGAGGATTAACCTTAGTTTTGAACAGCAGTAGTTTTCCTGAGTATTTCAATTAGTACTTGGGCTTCTCAAGGTTCAGATACCAGTGGCCCTGGCAAATGAATGTTTGTAAAGCCTGTGCATATGTATGCTTCCCACTTTAGAAGGACGTTCAAGTAGTCATTACCTGTTGTTTATGATCTCCTAATATGACAGTGAGATCTCCTTACAAGTTTTTAGTGCTTGTCCATCTGTTAACGAGTATTATTATATTATTTATTCCCAGTGCGGCTCACAGAGCCCCTGTATGGTATTCTTAAAAAAAAATAAATCCACAAAAAAAAAAACAAACAAAAAAAACCAAACCCTATCATTAGTTATTAATAAGCTCTTATCAGTGGTGTTGGCAGAACCCTGGGAATATAGTTAAGTATTAAACTGTATAGAAGGTTTGGTTTAATGTTTGATATTCCTTAATTTGCTGTATAACCACGGGGAAGAAAAAAGTTCTTAAAAGCAGACATGTTTCAAATGCAGAAACATTCCTAGCCCAAACTGTATAGCAAGTTCCCCCTGTCCTTCTTCAGGAGGTGAGGTGGGTGGAAGGAAAGTAATGAAGTTCCAAAGAGTGTGGCTGGTTAATGTTAGAGCCTTTGAAGGAAAATGTGAAGTACCAATGGTAACATTAGCCAAAAATGACTGAGCCCAAGGCACTTCTTTCTTTCCATAGCAGACTGAAGTAAATAAGCACAACTTTGTTGGCTCAGTCTCTCTCTCACATTTTGTCAACTAAACCAGCAATGTTTGTAATTTAAAGGCTAGAACACTTTTTCTAGAATAAAATGCAGGCTTCATTTTAAAGCTGGTCTGCTTGATCTTGATAAACCACTTAACTGCTGAAGAGCTAATACATTAAGCTTTAACGTGTACACCTTAATGTAGTTTAAAATGCTGTAGTCTGGAAGGAATAAATGAAATTTGTTTCTATATTAATGCTTTGAAAAATCAGCCAAACTTGCATTGTTTTTTATAGCAGCAGGCAAGCAGCGCTCACTTGTGAAGTCCAGCTTAAAGCATGAAAATAATCTAATGTGAATATATGGCTGGCTTGGCTTGCACTTAAAGGTGTTTTGCAGGCCTACAGGAAAATGAAGTGATGCTCAAAATTAAACTAGAAAATTGCTCTCTGTTGCAGAGCATGATGGTACCTTCTTTGAGAGCACTGAGGAAAGTGTGTCATTTCAATAACTATTTTAAGCATATGTAAAAGTAAGAGTTCTAGGCTGCGTGACATTGTGAACTTGCAATTTCTAGTGTAATATGCTGGAGAGGTGAACGTGTTAAAATGAAATTCTGCCTTTAGGAAGAGGAACACTAAATTTTAGTCATGCAATAAAATATATATTAAAATATGCAAACGTAACAAAGCACTTGCCTTCTGTTTAGGTAAAACCTGGTAGAAAGAGGGTAGGACTGTATATTAAATTTAAGTGATATTTAAGAGTAATTCCTTTCCCCTTTTAAATTTGTGCATAAAAGTTTGGCTCTGATTAAAACTTGTTTTGATTTGATCATGTCAATGTAATGTTTTGACATACACTTTGGGAACTCAAAGTTCTTCGAACATACTTTTTAATATTCCTGTTAGTTAGCTCCATGCTATATGGTGTCTTTTATGCTCCAGGCGACCTGTCTAGATTGTTTTGTAGTGTGATCAAAATCTCTTCTTTATTATTTATAGACTCTAATCGATATGACTCTTGATTTTTTACAGGTGCTGTGAGTGATGTTGAGATGCAGGAACATTACGATGAATTCTTTGAGGTATGTAACAGATGTAAAAATGTATTAAAGCGTTTGTGTATTTGTCAACAGAATGAGTTAAATGGATTCACAGAAAAGCACTTGTTTCCTCAGGTGGCGTTCTAAAAATTACAACTTTGAGTGCTTCATATGTCCTGGTATAACCACTGGTTAATTTGGCATTAACTTTGCTGTTCATAATAGATTTTGTTTAATAATCAACAGCAGTTAAGCAGTGTAGCGTTTTGATTCCATAATACTCCTCTTTGCTGTAAATTTAAAATATACTTGACTATAGAAGCAAGTTGAATAAAACTGTTAGCATCAAGACTTATGTATAGTGTTTTCAGTGCATCTTACATGTTCTGTGAATACTGTATGCATAATGTTTTCCATAGCTTTTTATTGTATCCTGTTAGTGCCCTAATTACAGATGGACACAGTACTAGCCAAGCAAGTACTAATTTAAAAAAAAAAAAAAAAAAAGGGGGGAGGGTGTTATTTTGTCTTTTTTTTTAAAGAAAGGCCTTCTTTTGTACTTACTAATATCTAAATGCAATAATTCTGTAGTTAGAACTAATGAGCTGCAATCTTTTAATTGGTTGTTTTGTGCCTAGGAGGTCTTCACAGAAATGGAAGAAAAATACGGTGAAGTTGAAGAGATGAACGTTTGTGATAACCTTGGAGATCATCTAGTAGGAAACGTATATGTAAAGGTAGGATAGAGAAATGTTTTTATATAATCAATAGGGGTGGTATTTATTTATTTGATAATTCTGAAAGCTACTGTATACTTATAACTCGTGAGAATAGCTCTTCACGACATAAGTTTCTCTCCAACTTCATAATATAAAGTAGAAAGTGAGAATGTGAATGGAATCTGAAATTTTAAGAGATTATGTGAAGTTCTCGATACTCCAAATCTGCTGCTTTCATAGAGAGTAACACTTCTTTTATACATTCTTATAAATACAGTCACCACTGATGGCCTGTTCAGTTTGCTGGATTAATTTGGGGTCTGTCTTTCTATCACACTGCCTGTTAAGCACTTAGTTATGAGCAAAGATTTATTCACAACATTTGCATTTATTTTCTAGCTTCTCCGTTAAACAAAATGTCTTGTAACCAAGCTAATTTGGCAACAGCTGAATGGTTTAAGGTGCAAATTGTAACACTTGAGCTTAGCTCTTAAAAGTCATTGGTATCACTTGAATAATGAGCAAAAAGTTGTCACCTGAAGAAATTTCATGGTGCGTACACAGAGTTGGGGAGTTTTGAGACTCTTAGTTCGACAATTTTTACTGTGCATTCCTTTCACTGGAAAGCAAAGCCTAAAATTCTCAATTGTGTAGGTTATCATCAGAAGGAAAAAAATTGTTTTAACAAATATAGGAGTGTTCAGCTGTGAAAAGGAATTTCAAATTGAAGTTTTACGTTCATCATAAAACTGGATCAGATTTTTGTAAATTCTGACTTAACTGAGAGGTTCAGTTCTTGTGCAGGTTTCTCTTAAATGCTGGGGAAAAAGGCCCATTCAATTTGGAGCATTAATGTTCTAGAAAGTACTCTTAAGCATTCTGTTTGTTTAAAGTTGTACTAAGAATACGTATCTTCTTTTGTTGATGGAACTTTCTAACTTGAAAGACGAAATAGAACATGAGAGAAGACACTGATGTTCTGATTAGCTGATTCCTGATTAATGAGAAGCTACCATTTTTACCCTTGATTTGATAGACTGTCCCAGGAACTCTGAAATAGCTTGTAGTTTGATAACTAATTCTAAGCCTCAGATAACTCACAGCTGATCTGATAGGAATCTTCAGGCTACTTCTCTTGCTTCTCTATAATGAGAAAATGTTGATTTTGCTTTTAGTTTCGCCGTGAAGAAGATGCAGAAAAGGCTGTGATTGACCTGAACAATCGTTGGTTTAATGGACAGCCCATTCATGCTGAGCTTTCACCTGTGACTGACTTCAGAGAGGCCTGTTGCCGTCAATATGAAATGGGGTAAAAAGTGACTTCCTCTGGCAGTATCTCTGAAATGCTTGGACAAACAGGGTGGTTGCTTGGGTGAGGCTTTTACATATAGCTTAGGGTACCAAAAAAAAAACCACTTCAGGTAACATTAATATGAAGTACCTGCACGGAACCTCTTGACTTTTGACATCTTTTGTAAGATTTTGATCTAGGAGTGAGTCAGAGTCAGTAAGTGATGCTTGCAGTTTACTGGGTTTAGTGTTAGAGGAGATTAACTTTTAGATGGTTAGAGGCCCACTAGGGTTTAGGGCAAAGAGATGAAGCCTAGAGCTGGGAATTGTAACTGTGTCTCTTGAATTCTGTTTCAGCGAGTGTACACGAGGAGGCTTCTGCAACTTTATGCATTTGAAGCCCATTTCTCGAGAGTTAAGGCGCGAGTTGTATGGGCGGCGGCGTAAAAAGTAAGTTTGCTTTTAAATATGATTAAAGCAGGTAAATTCAGAGTCAGTTGCTGAAAATTCTGAAGGCATATCTTTAAACTTAAGTCCTCCTTGTTCTTTCTAAGGCAGTTCTGGCATATGCCAGTGAAAGGCATCAGGTAAAGGGCATCAAGTAAAACTAGCAAGTAGCCAGTTAGAACAAAGGAATAGCTCTCTGTTTAAAAACAAAAAAAAGATATGGTGGTTCTTGCTGTGAGTACTGTGGAAGCTTGAAGGTTGATGTGGATATAAGAGAAGGCAGGGTTCAAGAACAACATCCACTGAGTTACTGACTACATGGGACCTACCTGTGGTTCAAGTCTCCAAAGTGTGTACTGTTGCAGGTGGACATTACTTGGAGAAGTAGTGCTTTGCCCCTTCTCTCTTTTATTCTCTTCTAAATGTATTTGCTCACATCCTCTGTCAGAAGTAGGCTATTTGGCTAATGGTCATTTTGGCAGGAACAGACTGGCCACTTTCAACATTATGCGCAATCGAGTATAACTATAGATTATATTCAGGACCCAACCTTATTTGTTTTTAACAATTAATGGCCAATTTTTCTAGCCTGTATTCATTCCTTAGTGTCAGTAAGAGGCAGTTGCTGTACTTAGCTTATTTTTAATAGCACTAGCCTCACAATGTGGTCCTTCTTCATAGAAAGTCTCAGTAGCGCAAAGGAGTAGTAATTCTGCTTAATGGCGACAAGTTGTGGTACATACATTTTATATTTACATTCATTAAGATACCTTGTAGAAAGGCTTATATCACTACTGTTATGATAACACCTGTTTGTGTATGGTTCACTTTGAGCTGGATTCAGTCTGCTTGCTTTTAGCACCTTGATCTTTAGGAAAGGCGTATAAAGCTGTTGAGCTTCCTTTTATAGAGAGCACAATTTTGTAATTTTCTTCCAATCACAGAAGGAGCCTGGGATGATTGAATGTGTTCTTTCCCTATAAATGTCTTTGATTGGCAGTGTCTTAGAACTTGTGAGGATGAATTCAACTTTGGAAAATGTAGACTGTGTTGCTTAGGCATATGTATTTGTGCCTAACTACTTTCCCAATTAATATTAATTTAAACTCAAATATAAACATTTAAGAAGTTTAAAAAGATGAAGGATGCTCTTATATTAGCCTTTTGGTCATTTTTATGAGTCTGGATCTTTTGAATTTAATACCACCAGTTAAAAGGTCTCACCTTTTATTGCAAGAAAGATCAGACTTTTGTGTTTGGCTTTGGAATATGGTGGATTTACCCACTGCCCAGTTTTCAGTTTGCCATATTTAAATCCTTTGTGCAGCTAAAGCTGCCACAGGTTAGCAGTAAGGCTAGATATTAGAAAAAGTGTCAGTGGGGTTTCACAGGTAGATTGCATAAATGAGACTAACCTGAAAGTAGTTCTGCACAATGAAATACATCAAAGTTTTTGGGGGGAGGAAGGAGAAAAGAGTAACCCAAAACTTTTGAGTGATAGGTTAATTTAGTAATTCTGAACAGCTCAGTGGTATGCAAGAGTTCTATATGTCTGTGTCATAGTAAAATTTGTCACCACCCACACTCCCACCCCAAAAAATGTCGTCATGTAACAATATTCTGCATACTTAAGACTTGTAGCATTAACTTCCTGAGCTTTTGAGCTCTGCTGATTTCTACACCTATTTTAAAATGTACTGTTAACTTATTTTTATAAAATCGGCAAAGGAAAGAAAAAAAACAACCTACCCCCCCAAAAAAGATAACTGAGTTGTAATTGCTGATTAATGCAGTTGGTTTAATAGGAGTGGACTTAGAGCTGTAGGGTTTTGATACGTGTTGTTAAGAGCTATTTGTAACTGCTAAAGCAGGTGTCCCCTTCTCTTGCTGCTTTAATTAACAGCTGCATAAAGTGCATTTAGTTCCTCTCCTTGCCTTTTCCCAAGGCTTGCACATCCATTGGGAGCAGTTGACTCTTGTAACAGTATATGTTGACTCCCTGGTATTAAGCTTGCTCAGTTTGTAAGTATCTTAAAGGCCTTTTCCAACCTTGTTGGTTCTGTGTGGTTTCACAGCCTGAGTGCCAATTCACCAGCCCTCCTAATCACAGTGTCTCATTTCCTTGTTACGTACGTCCTTAAGTGTTCCACTGTGGTACTACAAGTAAACTGCCAATTGTGATGAAACAATAAAATGTTCCAACTTTCTTTGAAGGCATAGATCCAGGTCGAGATCTCGTGAACGTCGGTCTAGATCCAGAGATCGTGGTCGTGGAGGTGGTGGTGGTGGAGGAGGAGGACGCGAACGTGATAGGAGGCGGTCAAGAGATCGTGAAAGATCTGGTCGATTCTGAGCCATGCCATTTTTACTGTATGTCTGCTAGAAAGTGTTGTAGTTTGACCAAACAAGTTCATAATGAGATTTTTTTTAAAAGATGGGCTTCTGAATAAAAAATTTGTAGTGATACAGTATTCTTTGTGTAACTTGTTTCTTGTTGGGGGGAGTCTTTTTAACTGTCATTCCTCTATCTTGACAAATTACCTGGATTAACTATGCCTGAGGGAAAGGTGGTAAATGTATTGGAGGAGCGCCAGTTTTGGGTTTGATTTTGGTTTGGGGTTTTTTTTTTCTTCTTTATTTGGGTATAATTTGAACTGTTGATGAAAATGTATGTGTATATAATATAAAATATTATATACATAGTAAAAATAATATACTGCTTAAGAAACAGTTACATAAGTTTCCCTTTTCTGCTATGCTGTCTGCTTATTTAGGTTAGTTTAGGCACATTTAAAAGGAAGGCTGTGCAAAATGCGTTTATTTACCAAGTAGAAGCGCTTAGTTACAGAAATGTATGTTTGTTTGTTACCAGAAGTCTGTGCTCTGTCTATCAATGTGACTGTGGCATTTACAATAAATCCAATTTCTTGGTGTAAAATCTAAAGCCTATTTTATAAGCACTCTGGAGTAGCTGAATTGCTACTGTGGCAGAGCTCATAGCTTGATATTTTTTTTTCTTTTTTTTTAATTATTCTTGACTAAATTCCTTGTCTTTGGCTGGAAAGAAAGTTGCCTAGTGCAACTTTCCCTAGTGGGGGAAAATAGTAATATTTTTTATTGCAATAATTAATAATAGGCAGGTGAGGTTTTGTAAGGAAATTTATGTTCCATGCAGCACAATACATAGCATCTATTGAAGGAAATGCAAGGTCCTAAATACAAGGACCAAATTTCTCTAGGACTGAAGGGATTTTTTTCCACTCCATGTTCTCTTAGCTGTCATTTAATGAAAAGCATTGTTAAGTGTTCAAGGTCATAGGAAACTAATTGGAAGCTAGTTCAAAATAAATGTCTTTCCACGTTTACTCAGTTCCTGATAGCCTGAAGTGTGGTAAAAGCTAATGGATAGATGGCAGTTTCTTCACAAACAAGACATCTTTTTCTATCTGAATTTTAATTGAATTACACAATAGCTGTATATCTTAGGTTTTGTGTCTCCTAAGGAGTTTAAGCTCTAAATGTTGCTGGAACATCTTAAGAGAGAATTTGTACAATGACTGTCTTGCAGTTTAACTTTGTCTGATTTTATTCAAAGTGGAACATAGTAAGAAATTTTGGTCAGTGGTCATATTTCTGCAAGATACAGCTTGGTTGTACTTGAAGCTATGTAAGAGAGCTTTCCAGAGGAGGAGAGAATTTACTAGTCCTGTTTTAGTTCTGAGTCAGGTAACTTGCTAAATTATAAATTTGCTCCTTTATTTTTAGTAATCTTAAAAACAAAACAGAAAAAAAACTTAGATTAACCAACCAGCTTCTCTCTGCCTCCAAAGTAAGTATAAAACTTTTTCTCACTGGAACTTGGAGTTGGCAAACAAAATAATATTGAAAAAAGAGCTGTTCTAAATAAATCTGCTTTGCCAGTAACCTTTTAAAAGCATATCACACTGAAGTTGGCTTCACTGCTTATGTTCTGTTGCAAATACATAAATTATGCTTTCTTTTCACTGGAGAAATTGAGCAGTGCCTGGCAAAAAATAGCTGAGCTGACACCTGTGGTATTTCTGCTAGGTGTTAGTAATCTGACATTGATAATTCAGTTCTTGCAGTTTACAGGATACGAATCTAGTTCCCTTTCCTCTTCAGTGAAATGTAAGATTATTAATGAGCTAACTTAAATCTTGGGCTCACAAAGGTGAGGAGAGTCTTGTTTTCAAACCAGTATCTAGTGTAATAGGGGAACTACTTAAACAGGTTTAAGATTATTTTCTCATAGAGTAATGGCACAAGCTCATTTGCCATATAAACAAGTTAAACTATAAATGTGTCTCTATAATGGCTTTCATCTGTTTATTTAAACCCTGTTAAATTGCAGGTACATTTCTGTATGAACAACAGAAGATTGATTTCTCCCTCTAGCCCACTATCTCTTTAAAAAAGCCCTCTTGAATTCCACCAGATGTCTCATTTTATGGTCTGATTGCACAGCTGTCCAAAAGTTAACCATGTAACTGGAATATGTCATAATGGGCACTGAAAGCAATGGATTTTGCTGGATACTCTTAAGGAAAAAAAACTTGTGCATCAACCATTACCTGATTGTATAATGATTACCTAGTGACAACATTCAACATACAAACTAAGCTCATGACCTAGCTTCAGTTAGGTTCACCTTTGAAGACTGTACTACCAGTAAAATTCATCACATTTGAAATTTAAAACTGCACAAATTTGGTTAAACACACATCATAGTGCAAACTGTATTGGCTTTACCAATACAAACCAAGTGGAAATCCTACCCTCCCCTTCTGTAGTTGCTCATAATGTCTTAGAGTAAGATTACTTCTCCCCACCCCTTCCTCCTTGAGATACCTACTTCTCACAAATATTTCATTGTTAAGTCTTCTGTTAAACAGTAGCTAGTAATTTATGGAATTCCTTTACCTCAAATAAGTGACAGCATAAGGTATTTTTTGAAGTCTGAGTCAATTAGGTTGAAACTGTTAATCCCAAGTGGCTTCCTCTTCTTTGTATTTGGCTCTTATTCTGTGAAAATACTGCTTGTCCATGAATATGATGTATGTTGAGACTGTAAAACCAAATGGAGAAAACTTGCTCAAAATAAAGCCTTGTTTTTATAAGAACCTTACAAAATTTATCCCGTTCCTTTAGATGGGATGCTGCTCTTAAATGATTAATGAGGACATGGACTTCAAGTTTCAAATTTTTAGCTCTTGTCTGTCTTGAGCTAATTCTGAGTGATTATTCTTTGCCTTCTGTTTCGTAGAGCTGATGAAGTGTGTCTTCATCTAAAAAAAAACAAAACAACGAAACACCTGTCATCTCCATGTTTACTTGATAAAGTTGAAGTATCAAGAGTGCAACTTGGGGTTAGGAGTTAGGGGTTTGGTTTGGGTTTTGTTGTGGTTTTTTGTTTGGTTTTTGTTGGTTTTTTTTTAATGAATAAGGCTTCTGGTTGAGAGATCCTGCAAGTTTCTGTTGTGGTCTGTAGAGGACAAGAAGGCTCTATTTTGACAGAAGGAGCATGTTTGATTGAAAGGAGTCATGGTTTTAAAAGATGACTTTTAGTTGTTCAAACTGCAAAACTTTGGCTGTTAATAACCACACCTATTGCTACAGTTGTACAACACCTCATTAAACTGCACCTACTGTCTTTAATACATTAGAAATGAAACTGCTTTCAGAGCAGTTGAGGCAGGAGGGATGTCAATCACTCCATTTTGCAGACGCTTGTAGCTGCTGATGCTGTAGCACTGGTGATTGCCCCATGAGACAGTCCTGTTCAGGAAAAGTCACAGCTAAAAAAGAGAGCCAAGTTGGTGTGTGGCCATTCCAGCTGGTAAAGAACTGCTAATTGAAAGGCTGTCATGGGAGAGAATAATTGTACCTGTGTTTGACATTTACTGCAAGGATGACACTGAGCTGTGTTACTGTAGAGCACAGTTTTGCCTTGGAATGCATGAATTTCAGTTTTGAAAATATAAAAATTGCAGCTAAATGTCTCGAATAAATCAGTACCTCTTCATGCTGAATTGCTATGTTCTAAATCGATGCTGAATTGATACATGCTAAAACTGTGCACAAGTATTTCTGAACTCGTCCAATTAGCCAGTGTTACTTTTGGGGTTATTTTTACAAATTTCTCCAAATTATTTTTCTTTTTTGCAGTTCTCATTTTGTTAAACCCACATATATGGGAAATTGAGCATGTCTCCTGGACTACGTGAATAATCCTTCCTTGTCTGCAATGTGCTCCTCAGTCATAAACATCTAATCCGCTGTTAATGCATTACATTCTGTATTTCTTACAATCGTAACCTTCAGCAGGAGGAACCACAAAGGAAAGGCCACTGCTCTCCTGTACCACATGCCCTAGTACTTCAATAAGGGCAGAACCACTTTAGAAGGTCCCCATTTTTGTGCTGGAGGTTAGTTACTGCCACAAGACTGATCTACAACTGTAGACTGGATTTGTGGAATCCATTTGAATGGTGGAAGATAACAAACCAGATCTGCTGCCAACAAACCGGCTCTGGTAGCCAGTGGCTTCATGCCCACACCTGAAAAGTGGGAGGGATGAGAGTGTGCTTATCTCTGTTAAGATACAAAAGCCTCCTTATCGATGCTCTGATAATCATTGGACTCAGCAGGACTTCCTAATTTCAGTTTTGGTGTCTGCTTTGTAACAACATTGCTTTGATAGGACCAAAGGCAAGTTACTCACATTTGTACCTACAGAGAGCAGAATGGTGATAGCTTCTGAGGGAGCAGTGGGATGCCAGTGAGGCTGGTGGGGAGCTGGATCCCTGGGCAGCTTCTGTGAGTATGGTTGCCTCTTTGATCCAAGTACCTTGGTGGTATTCAGAACTCTGCAAGCTATTCCCACTAGGAAGAAAAAACTAATGTGATTCATGTATTCCTTTCAAACCCATGCATTTTTGACAGAGGTATGCAGAGCGCTGTGTTCCTGGGCACTGTGAAACCAGTGTGCTGAGAGTCACTTCCAGCTCCCAATTGCAAACTGCATGTTTAGTGAGGTCTAGAGGAAGAAAAATCATCTCTGCTCTGCTTTCAGTGACAGCGCGGCAGAAAGGCAGCAGACGGCAGTCAAGCCAGTCTCCCTGCCTCCTCACTTTCCACAGAAAAGCCTTTTAGTCTGCCAGGCTTAGGCCTGCTGTGCTCTTGCCAGCACCTGGCTTGGTTTCAAGTCTGCTACCTATGTGGCTGAGCATTGGATGTGTTTCAGATTTTCTTCCTGGAGCTGTCTGGGACTATAGCCAGGCTGAGGGAGAGGCTGAGCTGCTCCCGCTGCAGCCTGTGTACCAGCCTGCCTCCTGGGCCTGAGACCTGTGGGAAGAGCCACACGGAGCAACCACTCCTCCCTTTCCTACCCACCCATTTCCCTTGAGAGCTCATTCTGCTTGTGCCTAGGAGAGAGATGAGAACATGGATC